TGCATCCTGCCAAAACTCAGTACTGCACTGCTGAACATCTCTTCACCTTGTTGCACAGCGTCGGGCGGCTCCCCTCTTCTATGCGGCGCGTGACTGACAACACTGCGCTCAGAGAGGCCACGTCGCCCTTTTGTGATTATGTCACCTCCCGTGCCCGAGCCCACCCCACCGTGAGGCAAACCAGCCACTTCTGGGCGTTTGCCGGTGCCAGGCCAGGCTGGCCAAGCAATTGCAGACACTGGGCCACGGCGTCGAAAAAGCACGTGCCGCCTCGTCGGCGCATAACGGGGCTCTGTGTACACACACGTCGTTGCTTCCCTCATCGGCAGAGCCCACAGAACTTCTGCATTGCATTCCCCTTGTCTGATCCACACCTGCCAAATGCGTGCAAGCACCACGCGTCTTCAGCTGTGCATGGAACAGTGACTGTCCCCGATGCGCGTTAACACCCCATGAGCTCCCGATGTCGTCATCACCTCTGAATCGAATCAGGAAGGACCTCTTCACTAGCAAAGGCTGCTACTAATCTGTTTTGGACTTCCCCCTATCACTTGTCAAGACCAGCTCGCAGCCGATGCAAACATAACATATCGAACATGCCCGCGTTATACCGAGAGCGCGGTAAGGAAGAACGGAGCGGCAGCCTAGCGTCTGTGCCTGAAGAGCGGCAATCTGGGCATCCAGCCTGCAAGGTACGGAAAGCGCAACGCAACGTTGAGACGTGCCTATCTCTTCGCTGCCACGCACTACACTTCTCACCGACTCATTGACCACAATGGGCGCGTGCGACAAGAACTCTTGATCCGCCACAGTGCCCCCTGGCACGTTGAGGCGAGCTAGAATGCAGAGTGCTGCCTAGCAGGGTGTCTGCAACCTTCCAAAGGGCCACCCCCCACCTCTCCACGCATCCAGCTGCATGCATCGCCCCCTCTTTCCGAGGCTCGGCCGACGCCCAAGCACGTCCCTGGCGCTCTCCAAGGTGTCGGGGATACCCACAAGGGCTTCTCAAACGGCCAAGGCAAGTCACCAATGCCGCCAAAACGGGCCAAGAGGCCTCCATGACGGCCCAAGGGACCTCCAAGGCGGACTACGACGGTTTCCAGAGAGCCTCCAGCAAGGCCCGAAGAAGCCAATCTCATTGATTCCTCCACGGTGTTTGAAAGATGTTCGCATTCTCGCCTTTTCGAGCATTCGTCGGCACAAGAGGCGCAACGACGACCCAAGAGGGCGTCAAGATAGCCCAAGAGGCCTCCAAGACGGCCTCAAGACAGCCTAAGAGGGTCCCTGGACAGCCCAACATGGACGCAAGAACGCCACAAGCTGGCCCTGCAGGGCATCCGTGAGGGCTCAAGACGGCCTGCGAGGATCCCTGGACGCCCCAAGACGGCCCCGCGAATGCCCCAAGAGATTCCCCACATGGCCACCAGGGCCCCAAGAGAGCCCCAAGAGAGCTCACGAGGGTCCTGAGACGGCCAAAGAGAGCCCCAAGAAACACTCAAGAAGCTCCTCATCCTCTTCCTCTTCGTGCATCACTATTCTCATCGTCGTCATCATCACCACCATCAGCAGCATCATCAGTATCATCAGTATCATCGATATCATATTTACCCTCATCGTGATCCTCGTCACCCTCATCACCACCACTACCACGGACCACCATGAAACATCACCATCACCACCACGATCATGACGCACAGACAGCCCGAAAGAGGGATGTAAGCGCTCCTGCAGAAAAAAACAAACACATATCAACGGCACTCCGCCTGCATAACTTGATATACTTCCCAGGACGGCCCGGCAACAGTGGGCCGTGCACTGATTCTGCATACCTCGTAGAACGCCTCCAGCTCCCACCCCTCCACCGTGCACGTTGCCATCGCCGCCAAGCATGCTGGACTGGCACGGTGGCGGGACTTGCCGCAGGCCGCAAGGTGCCCCAGACTGCTCCTTTTGGGGGGCAGCTAAGTGATCCCAGTACGCTACTCCCCGGACCTCTCCATGGGCGCGGTCTGACCAGAATGGCAAGCCGAATCCAGCCATGGCGTCGGTGGGCCTCCCAGTAAGCCCGAAAAAGGCGAAGACGAGGAATGGGTAGTGGTATCGCTACCTTTCCCTCCTGTTAAATTTGGTGCGCCTCGTGTACACAGGTGACCGTGAGCCCGTGGGTCGTATAGGCGCGGCCCAGCCGTGCCGAAGGCTGGCGTGTCGGGGCACCGCTCTCGGACTGCTGCTTGCACTGCGAGGGTCCGCGCAGACGCCGTGATAGATGTGGCGGGTCCGGTTCACCGACTGCCGGCGGCCAAGTTCCCTGGTTGCCGGGTTCCCCGCTTGAGATCCCCGTGGCCGTCATGTTCGCAGGGCCTCAAGAGGGCAGGCAGGCTGGGAAGGACAGGGTAGAGCGCAGTAGAGGAAGAGGAGTTGAAAGCAGAAGGTGGAGAGTCGAGAGAGGGACGCGCAACTAACATACCAGAGAGTACGCACTTGAAGTTGTAACGAACAAAGTGTAGTAGGCACTATGCGAGAAAATGCATGGTGGAAATAATGTTGTGCTACAAATGGGTTGTACGATCTAGAGGGTATAGCGTAAAACATGACCGGGTAGGTAGAGTCGAGTGGGGACTACATAATAGGGGGCGAAGAACAGAAAAGGACACATCAGAAATCATAGAGTTTGGAGAGACGCGACCAGATGCCAGTTTTGGGAGTAGAGGGTGGAATTTGGGCTGGAGGTTCAAAAACCGCATAAGGCAAGATCTTGGACTACGTAGAGTAGTCCAAGAGTAAGACAAGCGTTTGAACTACGTAGACGAAGTCCAAGTAGCACATAGACCGCATAAGCAGGACGCAGAGTAAGACAAGATCTTGGACTACGTAGACGAACACAGCCGTCATTCACCACGAGAGCTAATCAGAGTATGCTCGTGGAAGCGGGATCCATGATTGATGGGGGTATCTCATTCAAGAGAGGCTACCCGTCTCGCTCCGAAGATACGCGCAACAGATCAGGTCCGTGAATATGAATATGGCACGCTAGACATTATTTCACCCTTGACTACCATCGAAGACCGTTTCACCTCGCCACTGCTGCGGCGAAGAGTTCAATCCAAACTGGAGCAGACAAGTGTGCTGAGAAGGCAGGGCGAGGCGTACAGTGCCTGATGGTCTCTGGACACACGCATGCCGTCGAGCTGCCTAGCTTCGCAACTCGATGCCAATTCATCAAGGCACGATCGCAGAAACTCATGCTTCTGGATGGGTGGCCTGGCGCCACCGTGTTGCTTCGGCGTGGGGCTGACCACGATCTCCTCTGGCAATGCGGGGGCCGCAAGCTTCGATCAGAGAGGAACCCCGAACCCTCCCTGCTCATCATCCCTCCTCCTCCTCCTCCTCCTCATCATCATCATGCTTCTCTCTCACCTCCGCCTCACCATCCATCCTCGCCTTCATGCCCACCGTGCTCTTTCTACTCCCGCTCCTTCTCCCTCTGACTCGTAGCCCGTTCGCTGCACCATGCTCGTCGTGAACATGGCTTGCTGCGCTCTTGAAGCCACCGCTCTTGATGATCGACGGGCACTCGCTTCACTTACAGCGCATGAAGCGACGACGCGTGTGCCTTCGACTGTGCCGTCCACATCTGTGCCCTGCAAGGCTGCACGAGACATCTCCATCCAACTCTGTCGGCAGGGCCGGGACCATCGCACTGTCAACTGGCCGTGCATCACGGACTCACCAGAAAGGCTTCGGAGCTGCCGAGAGCGGGCGCGGGCTCGGCGCAGGGACCGCCCTGAGCAGCACAGGGCGCGGCCCAGGCCCTCCCCACGACGCAACATGCGGTCAGGAACGTTTGCATAGCGCGTCGCGGCGTCAGCCCCGGCGACACGCCAACCCCTGCGAGCTGGCAGCGCGTCGTTCCAGGACCCGGCAGAAGGGCCCCCAGACGCCGAACACAGCGAGAAACATCCCGTCGTGATGTTTTCACAACGCGAGGTCTGGGACCAGCGCGCGAGGGGCAGCCACGGGCCCCGTGGCAGCAACGGGGGGGGGGGGGGAGGGTCACGGAAGCTCGGGGAAGCCCCGCCGGGAGCCTGCGCGCCGCTCTCCAGCGAGCGTGCCCTCTGCCGAAGCAGATGTTGAAGGCCCTTCAAACCCAAACGTCCGACGTCCCGATTTTTTCGAGACGCGGGCCCCCGCCCAATCGACCGCTTTCCCAGGCCAGGTCCGGTTTTGCATCCCGAGTCCATTGTGGACGGCCACGTCAGGCCCAGAAAGGGCCCCGATGGAGGCCGAAAACTTTGAAAACTATGAAAGGCCTGCGTGTTCGGGGAGCGCAGAATGGGGGGGGGGGGCGCTGAATGAGGGGTGGCAGCGAAGGCTGCCGCAAGAAGGGGCCATTAAGGGACCCAAAGGGGCCCTTTCGGGGCCGAAAAGGGCACCTTTCTTCCTCCCCAGATATCGCCCCCGCCATTAAGTCGCGCCCAACGTCTCGATCTTTTCGGGATGACTAATGTTGGGTAACGATGTCCGACCAGATAGAGTCGAACGATCGCGCCGCCTCGCCGACGCATCGCGATGCACCGGCGATGCCTCGGCGCCGACTTGGAGGAAATCGGGCTCCGCATCGAGCCGCATCGCCTATGAACCAGCGATGCGGAGCGGTCCTTCGATCCCATCTGCTCGGGAGGCCTAGGAACCTCTAACAGACCGCACTTCCTCCCGCTCCTCAAATCTGTCGTTTTCGGCCTCCTGGGGCCCTCGCTGGGCCCGGGGACCGTCAAAACAGGACTCGAGATGCTACATATCCCAGAGAGGGGCCCAGATCTCACGATGTTGTAACGAGAATCAGGACGTCGGATATCAACACCGAACAGCCCCGCCCCCCAACCCCCCCCTTTGTGCCCTCGCTGACCATCGCCCTCCCCCCCCCTGGTCAGAAGAGAGCGCGTGGGGATTGCGCGCCACGCGGTTGCCGAAGCCGACGACCCCGACGAGGTCCTTGTCCCTCACCTGCCGCCGGAGGAGCGACAGGGCGGCGAGGGAGCTCGGGTATGGGGACGTCTGCGAGCTTCGGGTTCGAGGTTCGAGGTCTTCGATCGTCGGTTCCCAAAAAACCCAGACCCCCGACGTCGTGAAATTTTCATAACGTCGACCCCCAGGAGAATAGACCCCTTCGCCGGACCCCAGGACTGTCAAAGAACGATCGTTCTTTGACAATCCCGGGGCCCGGCGAGGGCCCGTGGTGGCCGAAAGTAGCGAAAAACTTCCCGTCTGGATTCTCCTTCACAACGCCAAGGGGTCTGGGATTTGTTCCATGACCGGGAACCTGGGCCCCTTCCCAGGGACCGGCTTTTCAGCCTGAACCGTTGTTTGGCAGTCCCGGGGCCCGGCGAGGGCCCCTGGAGGCCGAAAGTAGCGAAGAACCTTCCGTCGTGATGTTTTCACAACGCAAGGGGGGCTGGGTTTGGATCGGGCATGTCCCCCTACAGGCCGATTGATTTTGGACGAAAAATCAGGACGAGGGGGCCAAGCGGTCATTCATTGTCCCTGGGTGCTTGGCTAAATAAGAAAATCGTGGTGAGAATTCTGCTTGTTGCGTCGTTGCTGTTGAACTCTACTTCTGAAGAATAATAATTGTTGATCCCCCCTTACTGGTGCATGCGGTTTTTTCTCACTCACATGTGCCCCTCGACGCAAGCACTTTTTTGTTCTGACAGGAGATCTTGGTGCTCAAACTGTGCCCCTGGCCCCCAGGATTACAACAACAACGGCTCCCGCCTGAGACTTCCTCCAAATTTACTCAGGACCCCCGCTCCGGAGGCTTCCTCACAATTTACTCAGCATCGGTGCTCCCGCCTGTGGCTTCCTCGCAATGTAGTCATGATCCCCGCTCCCATCTGAGACTTCCTCTCAATTTACTCAGGAACGGCGCTCCCGATTGAAAATTCCTCACAATTGAATCAAGACTTCCCCTCAATTTAATCAAGACCCCCGCTCCCGCCAGAGAGCCCTTCGCATTTTATTCAGGAACTGCGCTCTCGCCTGTGACGCCCATGTAATTTATTCATAAATCGCGTTTTCGACACTCAGGAAACACGCTGCGCCAAAGACGCCGTTAAAAATTACTTAGTAATCGCGCTCTCGCCATACTCGAGCATCCCGCTTGAACGTCCCACCCGCCCGACCCGCCCGTTAGGGGATCGCCCGCCCGTCGTAGGGCTCCCGCCCGAGACTTCCTTCAGGAACGGCGTTTTCGCCTAGGACTTCCTCGAACGTTCACGCTCTTACCTTCCTGCTCCTCCTCCCTCTCCCTCCTCCCTCCTCCCTCCTCTCCTCCCTTCTCTCTCCCTCCTCTCTTCCCTCATCCTTATGCCTCTCTGCCCTATCCCCTCCCCGTCCTCTCCCGCATCCCTTCTCCCTCCCCTCTCCTGCCTCCTCCCTCCCTCTTTCTTTCACAACTACTCAATCTGAATACTACTCTCCCTCTTCCCCCGATGGCGGCCTGAAGTAGCCGACCCCCCCCCGCGTCCTGCTTTTTTACACACAAGATTCCCAGGAGTTGGGTTTTCGCCTGCATTTGTTTCAAAATGCTGCTCTCGCCGAGGCGCCGGCCTCATTTTCGGGCCCCGCTCGTTCCGAATCGTGTTCCCGCTGCAGCGCTGGCCTCATTTCCGTGCTTCCGCTCGTTCCGAATCGCGTTCCCGCTGCAGCGCTGGCCTCATTTCCGCGCTTCCGCCCGTTTCGACTCGTGCTCCCGCTGCAGCATTGGCGTCGTTTCCCGTGCCATGCCACAGCACACGCGCACACACGCACACACACACACACACCCACCACCACCACCACCACCACCACCACCACCACCACCAGCACCAGCACCAGCACCAGCACCAGCACCAGCACCAGCACCAGCACCAGCACCAGCACCAGCACCAGCACCAGCACCAGCACCAGCACCAGCACCAGCACCAGCACCAGCACCAGCACCAGCACCAGCACCACCACAACCACGCACACACGCACGCACGCACGCACGCGCACCACCACCCACTAGTCCGCGGATAGAGAAAATCAGCGCCATGGTAAGGTATGGGAGGGAGGGGTAGGACGTCAGATATGACGCGCGCGCACATAGCTTGTCTCTCTCCCCTCTCTCTCTCTCCCCCTCTCTCTCTCTCTCTCTTTCTCTACCTCTCTTATCTGTCATTATCTCTCTCTCTGTGCCTCTAATCAACCGACCCCCTCTTCGCTCCTTCTCTCCTAACGCTTTCCCTCTTCCTTCGTCCATCCCCCTCCCTTCTTCCCACTATTCCTCGTTCTCCCCCTCCTCTTTTTGCAGGGCCCAAACTAATTCCAATGGCGGGCACATGTACGCCAACGAAGGACGGTCCGCCCGTTCAGGCTCGCCCACCTGTCCAAGCCGCCGCCCCCCGCAAAGAGAAATGATCCCCCCAAAGGGGGTGTGATCGAAGACAAAAAGGGCGGGAATCGAGGGTGTGGGGGACTCGTTTTGAATGACTCGCGGGCAAGTAAGAGCGAACAATATTAGAATGATTGTTGCTCTTGTTGTTGATGTTGCTGTTGTTGGTGCTGTTGTCGTTGGTGTTGTTGTTGTTGCTGTTGTTGTTGTGGTTGTTGTTGTTTTTGTTGTTGTTGTTGGTGTTGTTGTTGTTTGTTGTCGTCGTCCCACCCGCGACCCACCCCGCGACCCACCCCGCGATCCAACCCGCGACCCATCCGCGACCCAACCCGCCACCCATCTGCGACCCACCCCGCGACCCTCCCGCGACCCACCCGCGACGCACCCCGCGACCCACCCACGACCCACCCCGCGACCCACCCGCGACCCATCCGCGACCCGCCCGCGAACCGCCCCGCGACCCACCCGCGACCCATCCCGCGACCCACCCTCATCGGACATCGGACATCGGCCTGCAGTCGAGGCGCCGCGGGGGCGCTGCAGGTGGGCGCCGGGGCGCCGCCATGCATGACAATTGACGACGGTGAGAAAAGGGACAAGCGAACGAGAGGAAGACAGAGACAGAGAAAGACCAACAGAGGATGGGCAAAGGAGCACTGCAATATGTAATCGTATGTACAACAACTATGCGTGTGAAACATAAGAAAATTAAGCGATTACGACGTGCCGGTTCCCTCATTCATTGTGTGACGTATCCTGGCTGGATATTGTCCCGAGCGTCCGTGGTTGCAAGATGTAACAAGTCTGCCACGGTATGTGGTGCATCAGGCACGCACTGCAATTTGTAACGTACTAGATCGTCCCACCACCTGGCCTTGGGGCGGCCAACTCGTCGATGTGCCTGTCCGTGTACATCACCTCCCGGGTCCCATTGCAAAACCGTTCGTGCCCACTCTTTTGTAGTGCTGGTGGCAACCGTGCGTGCCCATTCCCACTTGCGCTGTCTGACAGACGTGGTCCAATCTATAATACGTAGTTTTGAAATAACACTCTCTACATGTCGAGTTGCTCGTTTGATCCAGTCTGACCAGGGTTCGAGTGGGTCGGTGTCCTCGAGATCGTCTGCTGCTGATTGTACAAATGGTGCCACACTGTCTACATCACCTCCGCCGTCGGTGCCGGAATCGTTGGAGTCCTTGTCGTTCCTGCCGCTGGCGTCGCTGCCGCCGGTGCCGTCTTCGGAGTCGCGGTTGCCAGCTAGCCTTCGTCGAGGCGTGTTGACTATCATCCGAAGCATTTGTCGCTGCGTCCTTCGAATCCTATTCTCGAGCTCCTGTGTCATCGCCCAAGCCCCACAACCATCTAGCACCGTTGGAGTAATTGTTCCGTGGAATAGCCGGATACGGTTGTTCAGTGAGTAGTGCGTTCCAGTAAGTTTCTGCTCAAATAAATAAAATTTTCTCCATGCCGACGCAATCCGGTTCTCCACTTCCGTCTTGTGGCTGTCGCTGCATTGGAGCTTGCGCCCCAAATACTTAGTTGCTCGGTAAAGGTGGGAGCACTTCGATCTTCATGTTGTGGACGAGGACGTGGGTAGGCGGTCGTGGTGCTCTTTTTGGTCTGTGTCCGTTATGCAGAATGTTGGTCTTGTCTGGATGCAGTAGTAGCCCGGCGTCTGCCGCTTCGATGACAATATCGGACAACATGCTGGTGATGTCGTTGCTTGATCGTGCAATGAGGAGGAAGTCGTCGGCAAATCGCAAGTTGTTCAGTAAACCGTCGCTGTTTGGTAGGTGCGGGATCCCGCGCTGCTTGGTTGTCCATTTTTCCTTCACACGTCTCATAATAGATTCTGAAACGCAAGTGAAGAGTAGTGAGCTTAGTGGGTCTCCCTGCTTTGTTCCGCGTTCAATGTTGAATTCCTTGCTAAAGCGGCCAGTCTTGACGGAGGCCGTCTGCTGGTGGTACAACTCTTGGAGCAGAGTGGTATATGGAACTAGTGCCTGCTGTTCTTCTAGGGCTTTCCATATGGCGGCGTGTGTGACGCTATCAAATGCTTTCCTGAAGTCTATCGTCGCCATCCAGAGAGGTATTTGCCATTCGTCCGATATCTCTACCAGAACAACAGTGGTAAATAAATGATCGGTTGTGCTCCTGTTGGGTCGGAAGCCTGCTTGGTCCGGGCTCTGATGACAATCCAATTGAACACACAAGCGATTGGACAAGAGCTTGGAGAAAAGCTTGTACAGAAGCGGGATCGTCGCGATTGGTCGGTCGTTTTCTGGCCGCGTCGGGTCGCCGCTTTTCCAGCTGGAGGGTGTGGGCGAGTCAGAACGCAGTATGTTGTTGAACGTGTCCAACATGACTCTCTCGAGTGCGTCTCCCCCCTCCTTCAGCATCTCTGCCACTATACCGTTGGTGTCTGGCGCGCGGCTTGTCTTTAGCTGACGAAGTGCGACAGTCAGTCCGCTGTTCGTGATGGGAGGGATCTGTTCTGCCTCATGTTGCCCGTGGTGCAGCTGGGCGTCCTTCTGCGCGTCCCGGTATAGGCGCGAGTCAAAGTTAGCGAATACGTCTGCGATTGTCTTTCTGT